AAGAGGCGAGAACGTGCAGGCGCGTAAAAAAGGTGGGCCCCACAGAGGTACATTGTGTGGTGGGGAAAAATCGCATGCTTACGTTACGTGCAAAGGATCTCATGTACATTTCAATTTAACGGTGCAGTTTTTTTTTATTATTATATATTTTTTGTCAATCATTATATTAACTAGTTTTACCCGTATATTTATACGAAAAGTTATATAATAAAAAATAAAGTAATTAAAAATATAGGATAAAATAAAAATTATAACTATAAAAAAAAATTTAAAAAAATGAATTTACATATTATTAAGCACTTCTTTATATACAACATTCGTGGTTTTTCCATCGTTAGAATTCTCATCACACCAAATATATTCCTATCCTTAGAATTCTCATCACACCAAATCATTATCATTAAACTTCTTCGACTCGTGATTTTGAGATTTCATTTTTCAAAATATTTGATGTATCTTTCTAATATCTGAAAAAATATTTTTTTTTATTATAGTATGATTGCAGTAGAAAATAAAGATATTTATAATCATACTTAACTAGTTGTAAACTATGTATTTATATAATACCGAAAAATATATAGTATCAAAATAAAAAAAATAAAAATATTTTATACTTCAGGACATAAAAAAACGTTACAAGAATGTATTCAAAATGGGACATGTCAAAATAAATTGTGTAACTGAAAGTTACATACTATTATTAAATGGTGAACATATTTTTATTACATGAACACCTATTTTTATTAAATTAACTCATATTATTATTAATTGCTGACTGAATAAAATTTATTGAACTTTGCCAGCAATTATATATATATAGAGATAAATACCAAAGGTTAATAAATGAAATGAATTGCTTGTGAGCTCGATTCGCAAATGTTCAAGTTTAGCTCATCTCGGCTCGAATGATGAATGAGTCGAGCTCGAGCTTGTTGAAAGCTCGTTAGTTAACTAGCCTAACTCGATCTTGATTACTGACACGTTTAGTCCACTCGACTTGTTTACACACGAACTGACATATCCATGTAGATATGTGAATTGATCCAATAATGAAAAATTCGATCTGCAGTAATGCCTTGCTGCGTATGACGTGCTTTTATTGTTAAATGCGACATTTGATCTGTACATTATAAATATAGTTTATTTGTAAAATTATACCTTAAAGTTTTAATAATATTGTACGTCAAATTTAATAATATTGTATTTCATCATAAATATTTATTGCGTAAATACAAGTACATAATTTTATTTTATAAATAAATAAAAAGTTTTTTTTTAAATAAAGTTTTTTACTGGGTTGACCCGACCGGGTCAAGACCAAAAGTTGATTGGGGTTTCCTTGTTAACCCGACCCACACAAAATGGACTTGGTCGACCCGTCAAGCTAGTTTGGGTTGGGTCACAAAGCTCACAACACAATGCATGGGACTTGGGAGCCTTCTCCAAGTACAACTATCTGTTTTTGGAGAGTGAAAATTGGGCTTGGGCGTGTGGAGGAGAGAATTGGACCCACATAACAATTAACAATAATGGGTTTTGCATTATTAAGTGGGGCTAATCTCTGTGGCCCAGTAATAAAGATAACCACTTGAGGAAATTACCTTGTGCACTACATTATGTTATTTTTATTACATTTATATAATTCATATATTTTTATTTGCAAAATCATTAACATCATCCCATTTATTTGCATATATACCACATCCCTTTAGTTTGGATAACTGATGAAATTATCATAAGCCATGAATTTCGCTAACCCAATTTTCAAATTTCCTTCTTTCTATCGTCTTCGGTGAACCGCAACCACGCCAAAAAACCTTATTTCTGAGCTTCTGAACATAGATTTCCAAAATCCGGTGTCAATACTCTTCCAAGTCGCCCAATATCCTCTTCATTTCTCGTCTATTCCAATTTATAGTTTATGAATTTTTCAATTTATTTTCTCGCCCAAACTTCCTAAATTATCGGTACATGGCCGATGACCCCCGTTCTGTAGCTATACGACGGGAACAAGCTTCTGACTGTCGGTGGTGTTTCTCAGATCCTCTGTAGTCTCGCACTTCTCTAATGTTTTCTGTTTGAATTCACAATCCACCACTATGTTTCCAAATTCAGCAAGACCAAGCTTCCCACCGCCTGCCACACTTGGGAATTTTGGCGGATCCGGGCCTTCTTCAACCGTTTTTGTGGCTTTTATCAGTATCGGACCGTCGTAACAAGATCTACGCCAATTAACATGTTTCAGAAGCCAGTGATACCAAGACTCTGCGGGGACGCCGCGTATTCTTTACACAACCCTGGTCTCGTGCTCGTCTTCCATAATCTATCATGAAACACGTCCCTCTCAGCGACACTGTCTTCTCATAGCCCTGTTGCTGCACCAGTAGACCTTCACCATCACCAGTAACGTCGAGCACTTCCTCGAACTCCCCATTTTTTGGTGTTTGATTATCAACTGAATCTAAGATCTCAATAGATTCCTTAATTTGTGGTATTTGCATCAGTGAGAATTTTATTTTGGGAATTTCGGAAAAATGGGATGGAGTTTTGGATTCAGTATATGTATGTTATATTCAGTATATGTTGTATATATAGACAGTATATAGGCAGTATATTCGGAAGATCCAGATTTATCGACAGTATATGTTGTGTATATAGGCAGTTATTTTTAGTATATGTTTTTGCAGACAGAATCACATATATATTTAGTTTATAAAATATGTTAATGCAAGGTCTATTGTGGTTATAGTTAGTATATTTTTAGTATATATATTGCGTTTTTTTGTAAAAGACAGACACTGAAATATTTTTCCGTATATGTTGTGGTTATAGTTAGTATATTTTTAGTATATATTGCGTTTTTTTGTACATAACATGTAATAATTCGGTTTATACTTGGTTTATAATCTATAACAATTTATATAACATATAAGTATATATATATATAGAGTTTTCTGTTTTTTATTTTCTTATCGAATATGCAACCACAATATAAATAATTTTATTAGTTTTTAATTAGTATTATAGATAATTTATAATAAAAAATAAAATTATTTTTATTTTTATATATACAATATAGATGTCATATTAAATCTCGTCGAAAGATGATTAATTCGATATATTATATATAAAAAACTAATAACAAACAAAAAAGTTATTAAGTTTTGAAAATTGTTGGTTTGTTTTTTATTTTTTATTTTTTTATGAATAGGATTTACCTAAAAAAAAATGGAACTGAATCCGTTTTGTTTTATTATGGTAACACATAATCTCTCATTAAGACAAATAATTTTCACTGATTCCGTAAGGTTGTAAATATTTTATCCTTAATAGTAAATTTGCAATTATCTGTAAATCACGTAGGATGTGTGTAAATTTCCCTAACAACTTTGGTTCCAAACTTCCAATATATGAAAGTAGGGGCTCTTGAAAATGAAGGTGGAGGCTTTTTAGGAAAAAAAACGTAGCCATGAAAATAACCAAAGATTTTCTTTTTCTATGTTATGATTCCACTGAATTTAAGTATGGTTGTTGTTAAAAGCTGTTCAACGAAACGAGTCGCTCGTAAACTCGACTCAACTTAATTCGTTTGATAAATAAGTTGAATTCGAGCTCATTTAGTTAGCGAGTCAAAACTCGATTCAGCTCGAGAAAGCTCAAAAATATGATTTTTTATATGATTTTTCTATAATTCGGCTCGATAAAGCTCGAAAATATGATTTTTAATATGATTCTCTATAGTTCGACTCGTTCAAGCTCGAGTTCGGTTGGCGAAGGCTCGACCTCAGTTCGATAATAATGATAAACGAGTTGAGCTTGAGCTCGATTACTGACTCGTTATGTTGACGAGCCAAGCCGAGTTAGTTAAGGACTCGAGCTCAGCTTGGCTCGTTTACAACTAGTTAAACATTCTAATCTGCTTATACACATGTATATATACCTTCAAACTTAAATATCATGATCTCATAATTTTTGGTTTGTGAAGATACACACCTTACCAATTTCTGGAAAATGAAATTATTATTTGCAAACCAACTATAGTGAAAAAAAAATAAAAATTGGATTTATTATAAAATTATATGGATGATAAATTACACCTTTAGCAAGCCTATTCAAGTGTCTCCTCATAAAATCCAAGCTGGTGATAATTCGAATAATCAATCTCATTTAACCTTATACAACACAAAAGGTGCTCAGGCAGCTCTTCAGCTTTGTTACCCTGTCAAAAATAATTACACAAAAGACACACATATAAAAATTTAACCTCTTTATTAGCCAAGAAAAATCTTACATCAGAAACTATTAAAAAACAGAGAAACCAAATAAAATTTATCTGTCATTGTAAATAATTTATAAATAAATGATAATAATACTTACCTGAATTGTTAATCCAAAATCCAGAACACACAGCTTTAGCCTGTCCAGGAATGTTTCGAACCCCTTTCTCGATATGTAGCTGAACCTGTGCATGTCTAAGTCGATTTCGAAATAATTTTGGCCCTGCAAGAAATTGAGATTAAAAAAAAAAAGAAAAAAAGACACACTTATATGTTTATTTTCCAGCCAGAAGGTTATTAAATTAAACATTCTGATTAAGTCATGCACAAAGAACTATATGTTTTTCCAGCCAGATGTTAAAGATAAGATTTTTCGCTTGTTTTTCGACGCATCATCAAATTAAAAAATAAAAAATAAAATAAATAAACAAATAAATCACAAATTGAAAATTTACCGAGTAAAAGTCATGCTGAGGGCGAGAAAGCACGGGTTTTTCATTGTAAGCGTGCATGAGTTTCCTCTCGGCCCCACTCATGGGAAGGTCATCAACATTCGCCACACGACCCAAAATTTTCAATCTTTCTCTGAAGGGAACAATTGTTTCCATACGAAAGCCTTTGACTTTTTCAACTTCATCATCAATTAACCTCTGTTGTTATCAAAATCACATATATATACCAACATACAATCAATTTAA